TGCCATGTTAGAGCTCCCCCGGGGCTCTAACATACCATGTTAGAGCTCCCAGGGAGCTCTAACATACTCGAACATGCTATGTTAGAGCTCCGCTGGAGCTCTAACAAGCCATGTTAGAGCTCCCACGGAGCTCTAACATACCATGTTAGAGCTCACGGGGAGCTCCAACATACTGGAACGTGCTATGTTAGAGCTCCGTTGGAGCTCTAACATACCATATTAGAGCTCCGTTGGAGCTCTAACATACCATGTAAGAGCTCCCAGGGAGCTCCCACGGAGCTCTAACTTGATATGTTACAGCTCCGTTGGAGCTCGGTATGTTAGAGCTCCCAGGGAGCTTTAACATACTGCAACATGCTATGTTAGAGCCCCGCTGGAGCTCTAATAAGCCACGTTAGAGCTCCCAGGGAGCTCTAACATACCATGTTAGAGCTCCCAGGGAGCTCTGACATACTGGAACATGCTATGCTAGAGCTCCGTTGGAGCTCTAACATACCATGTTAGAGCTCCCACGGAGCTCTAGCACACCACGTTAGAGCTCCCAGGGAGCTCTAACATACTCGAACATGATATGTTAGAGCTCCGTTGGAGCTCTAACAAGCCATGTTAGAGCTCCGTTGGAGCTCTAACATACCATGTGAGAGCTTCCAGGGAGCTCCCACTGAGCTCTAACATGCTATGTTAAAGCTTCGTTGGAGCTCTAACATACTCGAACATGCTATGTTATAGCTCCGCTGGAGCTCTAACAAGCCATGTTAGAGCTCCCGCGGAGCCCTAACATACCATGTTAGAGCTCCCAGGGAGCTCTAACATACTCGAATATGCTATGTCAGAGCTCCCAGGGGGGCTCCCACTGAGCTCTAACATGCTATGTTAAAGCTCCGTTGGAGCTCGGTATTTTAGAGCTCCGTTGGAGCTCTAACAAGCCATGTTAGAGCTCCCCTGGAGCTCTAACATACTCGAGCATGCTATGTTAGAGCTCCGCTGGAGCTCTAACAAGCCATGTTAGAGCTCCCACGGAGCTCTAACATACCATGTTAGAGCTCCCAGGGAGCTCTAACATACTCGAACATGCTACGTTAAGGCTCCGTTGGAGCTCTAACATACCATGCTAGAGCTCCCACGGAGCTCTAACATACCAGGTTAAAGCTCCCAGGGAGCTCTAACATATTCGAACATGCTATGTTAGAGCTCTGTTGGAGCTCTAACAGGCCATGTTAGAGCTCCCACGGAGCTCTAACATACCATATTAGAGCTCCCAGGTAGCTCGAACATACCATGTTAGAGCTCCGTTGGAGCTCTAACATACCATGCTAGAGCGCCCAGGGAGCTCCCACGGAGCTCTAACATGCTATGTTAAAGCTCCGTTGGAGCTCGGGATGTTAGAGCTCCCAGGGAGCTTTAACATGGGAGCTCAAATATAGCATGTTAGAGCTCCCAGGGAGCTCTAACATACTCGAACATGCTATGTTAGAGCTCCGTTGGAGCTCTAACAAGCCATGTTCGAGCTCCCACGGAGCTCTAACATACCAGGTTAGAGCACCCAGGGAGCTTTAACATACTGGAACATGCTATGTTAGAGCTCCGTTGGAGCTCTAACATACCATGTTAGAGCTCCCACGGAGCTCTAACATACCATGTTAGAGCTCCCAGGGAGCTCTAACATACTCGAACATGCTGTGTTAGAGCTCCGTTGGAGCTCTAACAAGCCATGTTAGAGCTCCCCTGGAGCTCTAACATACTGGAGCATGCTGATGGTATGGATGGTGGTGGTGATGATGATGATGGTGATGATGATGGGATGGTGATGATGTTATGGTGAGGGCGGTTGTGATGGTGATGGTGGTGATGGTGATGATGGTGATTCTGGATGGGATGAGCACCGCCATCATCACCATCACCATCGCCACCACCATCAGCACTACGATTTGATAACCACCATAATTACAATCGTCGTCGGCCCAGGGCGGACGATGATGAATATCATGACGGCGGTGATGGCGATGATGATGACGATGATGCAAAAGCAAGTTGAGTCGGTTGAGTCAAAACCCCGCCCTAAATCAAGCCAGTTTAACTCTCTGCGTGGCCGCGCCCGCCCCATCCAGATCCAGGGGAGGAGGGGGCATGAGGGGAGCAGTCAGGGTCCCGACGGGAACGCCACAAGCTGTCTCGCTCATTCCCACCCACCCACCCTCTACGAGGAGGAACAGGGGGAGGACGACGAGGACGAGGAGGAAGAGGAGGAGGAGGAGGAGGCGGAACAGGAGGAGGAGCAGGAGGAGGAGGAGGAGGAGGAGAAGAGGATGTGGGGGAAGAGGAGGAGATGAGGATGATGATGATGATCAGGAGGAGGAGGAGGAGGAGGAGGAGGAGGAGGAAGAGGAGGAGGAAGAGGAGGAGGAGGAGGAGCAGACGCCAGCCACTGTGCGCGGCGCTCGCGAGGAGTGCCGTGCGTGTCAGGTGCCAGGTGTGCTGTGCGCGGCCCTCGCAAGCAGCCTCGCTCATTCCCACCCGCCCTCCTACCACAAAGTAACACCCGAGACTCAGCCGAGGCTGAGGTCGCCATCGGACGGGCATCGATGGGGAACCACGGCAGGCGCCAGGTGTGCGGCGCTCGCGGGGTGTGCCACGCGTGCCAGGTGCTCTCCGCGCAGCACGTGCGGCAGATGACACGCAGGGGTCCAAACGCGTGCCAGGCGCGCCTGGTGCGACAGGTCCAGCCGCGTTGGGTGCACGACGCGCACAGTGGATCTGGAACTCCAAAGAGGTCCCAAACGTCGT